AGACAAGAGAAAAATAACATTCAATATCTCTCAACTGGGCCTGTAATACCAACTACTCAAGAGACTGAGGCAGGAGAATAACAAGATCAAAGCCAGTCTGGATAACCTGAGCAAGACCCTGTCTCAAAAAATTGAAAACACAGGGTTGGGGATGTAGATCAGTGGTAGAACACTTACCTAGCATTCATGAGGTCTTGTGTTTAATTCACAGTACTGAAAAACAAACAAAACCCCCAAACTATCCCTCCCTGGGTCATGTTGAATAAAAACCTGCAAGTGTACTTGTGTTGCCACAAACAGGGTTCCACTTGGAACTCAAGATTGCTAGTAATTCTGAGGTTCCTTCACCTCTGCCTGGCATGGAGCTAAAATTATGTCTTTATGCTGTGGTTAAAAGTCAAACCTCAAGAAGAGTCCTCTATTGCTCTCTCAAGCTTATTTCAAAAAGAGTTTCATGCAAAGCCCAGATCAGTGGGAAAGATGACACTAGGTTCTGGCATGGAGTGTCTCCCAATCCTGCTCTTACTCTTAAGTGTTTTTTGTTCTGTCAAAATTGGGAAAATTTCCTGGGAGATATCCTGTATAACTTATCAGGAAATAGGAGAAGGGCAAAAATTAAACAACAAAGTGATTAACATATAGGAAAGCAAATGTAATTGGGGGAAACAATGATCACCTTGTGTGTGTGTATTAAATGAAGACATCACCCCCTAGGAATAACCCAGATATCGTTTCCATCCCCTAATCAATGTTTTTCTTTGCATGTCTCTCATTTGTAATACTACTTGGTATTATACAGCAGTGAGAAGAGGGAAAGGGCTTTTAAGCAGTTTTAGTGAGCATCTGTTCAGAGCAATGATAGTAAAAGGGAAAGACAAATGGCTCTGAATGAACAAATCAAAGTTTTCATTACTGGGCTGGGAATATAGCTCAGTGCTTAGCATGAACTAAACCCTGAGTTCGATCCCCAGCACTACAAAGAGAGAGAAAAAAATGTTTTTCATTACTTAGAAAATTTCACCAGCTGGGTGTGGTGGCAAATGCCTGTAATCCCAGGAGGCTGAGGCAGGAGGACTGCCAAGTTTGAGGCCAGTCTAGGCAGCTTAGTGAGACCCTTTCTCAAAACAAAAAGGTCTGGGTTATAGCTCAGTGATAAAGTGCCCCAGGGTTCAATACTCAGAACCACCAAGAGAAAAAAGAAATGAAAATCTTCACTTATCTACAAGATACATCAGAAATTTGCTTATTGTGAATTCAACAATTGCTCCAGGTAGTGGTCAAGTTCCTTCCAGTCAATGGGTCAAAATCAAATCTTTTGTTTCATTAATAAATTTTGTAGCCTTCAGTTTTGCTTTCTATACAAAATATGCTAAAACCTCATCTTTGTTCTCATTTGCTGAGACCCAGATTTACAAATACCTTAGGCTTGGGCTGAGGTTGTAGCTCAGTGTTAGAGCACTTGCCTAGCACATGTGAGGGTTTGATACTCAGCACCACATAAAAATAAATAAAATAAAGGTATTGTGTCCACGTACAAAGAAAGAAAGAAAGAAAGGAAGGAAGGACTTAAAAATAAATAAATAAATACCTTAGGCTTAAAGGATGAGGATTTTGGTATCTGGAAACCTGCAGGCAGGAAAAGGAGTCACCCTCTCATTCTTCTTAACTGCTCTCAAGTCATGGGAAAAGCAATCAGCTAGTGACCTGTGCATGCGTCCTGGGCATAGTGTCAAATCTGCAGTAGCAAAGTGCCTTTCTGAAATTTGGTCTAGGACTTGTACTGAATACAATGTCCTCCTCTTTCAGGAAACTGGCAAGGAGACTGTCCTACTCCTGTCCTGTGTCTCTTGGGAGACTAGCATTATGCAGAGGTGCTCTTATAAGTGTCACTCATTGAATGGCAATGCAGCTGATCATGTTGTACTCCCTAGGGCCTTGAACTTAAAGAAGAAGCCAAGAGGAGGGGGAAACAGACTTTTTCCCCCCCTTAATTTTCTGGTGACTTAAAACTCTGACACCTTAAAACGAGAATACATTTCCAGGAGCCTGTGCCACATTAATTTAGCAAGGGGCCATCAGAAGTCCAAAGAGACTCTTCTGTCACGGCAGCCTTGTTAACCACAAACTCAAGGAATTGTATATGTGCTGGGGATTGGTCAAGCAAGTTTAGAGATAGATTTCTTACTCATAATCAAAAGAACACAACATTCAACTTCATCTATTTCTCTATTACTGTCATATGTAGGAGAAAAACTGTACCCATTTTTGTTAAGAAGGAAGACACCTGCATTTCTAGGTAGCAAAAATCCTGTCTGGAGCATTAAAGCAAACTATTACTTTTTATGAGCTATATAAAACCTTCAGGCAAATATTCTCTGTACTCTTGTCTCCCTATTTACTACTATCTAGGCTTACACAAAGACACATAAACAGGTGAGCATGCTGCAGTGTACAAACAACTTTTTGATCTTGTTAACTGGGTTCCAAAGACAGCATATTAATTGCTCTGAAGGTATTTCTACCCCAAGCTGTTACCAATCAAACAAAGGCAATTAAATCTTTCTTCCTGGGCTGGGGATATAGAGTACCTGTCTATCATGGGCAAGATCCTGGATTTGATTCCCCAGCACTGCCAAAACAAAACAAAAAACTTCCTAAAATAAGGCCAAGTATGAGAAGTGCCTAAACAGAAATTTTCTATTGTGGCTGGTGAGTCTGGGTGGGCACCCTGCCCAAAGGCAGGTGTTTTTTTTTAATTATTTCCTCTAGGGTAACTTTCAGCCTTAGACTTTTTTGCTAGGAAGTTACCCAGAGAAGTTGAAATACCAACATATAAAGCTACACTGTAAGGTTCTCTTTCACTTCAAGATGGTGAACCATCTTGACTAGATTTCACAGAAGAAACTTTTTACATCACTTCATGCCCACTAGGATGGCTTTAATCAAGACATAATAACAAGTGTTATCAAGGATGTGGAGAAACTGGAACCCTCACTCATTGCTAATGGGGAAATAAAATGATGCAGCCATATTGGACAACAACCTGGCAGCTCCTCCCAAAGGCTAAACATAAGAATTACCAAAGGACCCAGTAATTCCATCTATAAGTGCACATCTAAAAAGAAAGGAAAACCAAATATCCACAAAAACTTGCATCCAAATGTTCACAGCACCATTATTCACAACGGCAAAAAGCAGAAACAACTCAACTGTCTACCACCTGATGAACGGATAAACAAAATTAGTACATTCATACAACAGAATATTGTTCAGCCATGAAAACAAGTTGAAGTACTGGTAAATGTAACAGGATGAACGTTGAAAAGGTTTACTGAAGCAGGAAACCTGTAATTCTAGTGACTCAGGAGGCTGAGGCAGGAGGATTAAAAGTTCAGACCAACCTCAGCAACTTAGCAAGACCCTTTCAAAATAAAAAATAAAAAGGGCTAGGGATGTGACTCAGTAATTAAGTGACTCTGGGTTCAATCCTAGGTACCAAAAAAGGAAAAGAAAAGGTTTACTGAGTCCCTTTGAGTAATCTGATATATTACTTGTACTTTCGCTTAGAGGTTAACAAATATCAAAATACAGTGAGTTTCTTCCAACACATAGTAATGACTACTTGAATCTCCTTTCAGTTCAAACTAGACAATTGTACATTCCTGATGCAGCTTTAAAAAAATATTCCTGGAAGAATACTTGACCAAGAATTTATAACAGACTATTAAGAATCTGACCTCCAGATTCAAAATAAGGCAGTAAACCTTGCACATTCATGTCTATAAAAAACACCTAATTTACAAAGGCCCCAAATTGTCCTAATATATTAGTGGAGCCCATTTATAAAGTACTTTGAGAGCCTTAAGGAGTAGTGGGAAATTGATAAATCATAACTGCGTCCTACCTTTTAAGGAGTATGGCAATTAATTTTGGAATAGGTCTAAAATGAAAAATTCCAACGGTACCATTAAGTATTTTCTTTAATCTACACAGAAACCTTCACCTTTTAGGAGTATTATCTCCTTTTCCATTTTTAAAAAAAATTTTTTTTCAGTTGTTGATGGACCTTTGATTATTTATTAATTTATATGTGGTTCTGTGAATTGAACCCAGTGCCTCACATATGCTAGGCAAGCACCCTACCATTGAGCCACAACTTCAGCCCCTCCTTTTCCATATTTTAATATCTCTGATATTTCCTCTCTCAACCTAAGCCATTTGGGCCACAAACACACTAAATACTTTTTGTTTGTTTGTTTGTTTATTCATTCATTCATTCATTCATTTGGAGTTGGGGGCCTTAATGTGTTGCCCTGGCTGGCCTAGAACTCCTGGGCTCAAGTGATCCTTTTTCTTTTCTTTTCTTTTTTTTTTTTAAGTGATCCTTTTTCCTAAGGCTTCAAGCTCTCACCACTGTGCCTTGCTCTGTTTGTTGTTTTTTTTTCCCCCTGCAGTGGTGGGAATTAAACCCAGGACTAGGACTGCATGTTATTCTTACAGAAAATGCAAAAAAAAAAGAAGAAACAAAATAAACATAAAATCAAACTAGCACCTGACATAGTAGTGCACACCTAAAGTCCTAGAGACTTGGGAGACTGAGGCAGGAGGATCACAAGTTCAAAGCCAGCCTTAACTTAGCAAGGTCCTAAGCAACTAAGTGAGATCCTGTCTCAAAATAAAAAATAAAAAGGGTTGGGTTAAACACCTCTGGATTCAATCCCTGGTACCAAATAAATAAAAAAATAAATAAAAACAAAAACCTAAACCAATCAGGTTGTGTATTGTGGAATCATTTAACTACTGATGGGGCAGAGTAAGGGGAGGAGAGGGAATTCAGACATAGTAACCTCTATTCTTCAGCATCAGGTTTCTAAGAATTTACTGTGCTAAAAACAACAGATTCATAAGACAATGTTAAAATAAAAGTATTTTGATTTATTGTTTACCTGATATTAGTCTAATGAGGAGTTAAACAACAAAAATCACAGAAAACCCACTCCTTAAGAAATTCAAACAACAAAGATTTTTATTCTAGAGTCTGTGAGTGAAACCTTTGTTATGACTCACTGAAAATTAAATATGCAAAACTCCAATCTGAGCTTAGTTTTGCCTGTGCAGAGACCTTTTTACTCTCATTCTTCGAAAACCTCATTTTGGATCTTGCTGCCAACACCAGAGAGAGGAAAGCCGGCCAACAATTCCAAATATAACATGCGGAGGCAAATGCTACAGAAATCTGTCTGACGGGAAGGGACCATGTTGAGGTCTGCAGAGGTAGGTGCACTTCTCAATCCAACCGTTTTGGTCCCTGTCTGGAGCAAAATGCCATGAGAAAGCAATGCGAGGAAATCAGCCAATTTCTAGTCAGCCTCATTACTGATGCCTTATGGTATTCACTCTATTAGTGATAACAATTTTTCCGTTTCTCACACAGAAAGATGGGTCAGCAACAACTAAACCACCACCAATTATTACACTATTTAACAGATTTTTAAGGATCAGTCCCTGAAAATCTGAATTTTCAGAAAGCTCAACTTATAGCATGATTATTATGACAAAGATCAGTTTCACCAGGGAACACTTAAAAACATATCTCTTTCCAGTTCTCTAGGGGCAAGCTTAGTAACCCCTATTATCACTCTGAATAATTGATAAACCAGTTAAACTTGGATAAAATGATTACACTATCACTTAAACAAAGACCTCTGCTTCTCAATTTTAATTCTTCAGTGAGGTCATGGTACTACTGAGCACAGAATAATTCATTCCCTAGCCCAGATAATCATTACAGAAAACCCCGAAATATGGCTTCCCATCTAATTGGGAAGAGATGAGGTTTCCTCATAACAACACTGTGGTCCCTGAAAAAAGACAGGGCAATGAAAATAGCTTATTTGACTAGTCATTTCCTTCAGTAATTTATCTTAGAAAAATCCCCATGAGTCAAGAGGATTATAGAGTTCAAAGCCAGCCTCAGCAACTTAGCAAGTCCATGAGTTAAATCCCCAGTACCCCCCCAAAAAACCCAAAAACCAAAAAACAAAAAAACACGGTTATGGCTAATGTCACTAAGACCAGAGGTAGTTTGCCAAGAAATCCCTTCTACAACATTTTTTTGGGGGTGGGGGATTGAAATCAGGGGCATTCAACCACTGAACCACATCCCCAGCCCTATTTTGTATGTTATTTAGAGACAGGGTCTCACTCAGTTGCTTACCGCCTTGCTTTTTGCTGAGTCTGGCTTTGAACTCTCTCGATCCTCCTGTCTCAGCCTCCTGAGCCACTGGGATTACAGATGGTGCCACTGTGCCAGGCCACTTCTACAACATTTTATTAAATCCTGTTCACTGTGAAGCAGACTGGTAAGAGACACTAGAGACTTCAGAAAGGACTTATATCACAGAACTTTTAAAGGAGAAAGCAGCACTGCAATTGTCACCTACAGCATTTGTCAAATTCCAGCTTCTCTCTTATGCATTCTGTATATGATGGAAATTTTCACTACTTATCTAAATAATCCAGTCTTAGTTCAAAAGGAAAGCAAGAGAAAATATAGTCATGTAGCCTAATCTCATGCCCGTATGGTACAAGTAAGCAATGAATAGGACAAATTAATGAAAACATACTCAGGGATCAAAATTTTTCAGAAATATTAATTGCCTGACCTCACCAGGCTGGTTGAATTGGTTAATGAAGTATTTTACTTTTGTGTGAGTGAGGGTTAGGAGGCAGGAAAGTGGGATAAGTCTTACTTATCAAATGATTCATGCAGGAAATTCCTATTTAAAAAAAGATTTCCTAGGGCTAGGGATATAGCTCAGTTGGTAGAGTGCCTGACTTACATGCACAAGGCCTTGGATTCAATCCCCAGTACCACAAAAGATTTCCTGCCTTTTCACGAATGATTAGAAAGTTATGTGATTTAGATAATAACTCAGCTAAGTCAACAGTACATTTAGTAGTGGCATCTTCAAAAAGAAATTGAAAATGTGAAGCAACCCTATCTCATTTAGTACAATTCTCAAATCTCTGATTACCAGGTCCCATTCACGGTCTCAAAAAAGAAAAAAAAAAAAAAAGTATTCAATGAAATGCACAGCCTGGACAAATGGGACTCTCACCATCAGTTAGAAGTTCCTCCCTCTCTCTCCTTTCTCTCCTTCCAAGCTAAAGCAGAAACTGTTGCTTATTACAATTTGACAAGTTTTAGACCACATCTAATTAAGAGATTCAGAGGTTAGGTTTCAGAGTTTAAAAGCCCAATCTCAGACAAAATAACACTTTTTTTATGCTTCAGGTTTCTATTAAATAATTTCAGCATTGTCAAACAAATAAGACTTACACCACTTCATCCCAGGGGTAAAAAATTAGCCCACACTTTAAATCAAGAAGTCTAGCCAGGTGACTACTTGGGAGGTTGAGGCAGGAGGCACCCAAATTTGAGGTCCATGTGGGCAACTTCCAAAGACCCTGTCTCAAAAAACAACAAAAAGCAAAACAACAACAACAACAAAACCCTCCCATGTCTAGAGGATGTAGTTCAGCCCTTGTCTAGCATGTGTGAGGCCCTGGATTCAAATCCCTAGAACTGGGGGAGGAGGGGAGAGGGAAGTCTACAACCCCCAGTCCAAGCACACATATCAAACCTCCACAAAAAATTGTAAGCATTACAATATATTCAGATACAACTCTCTCCTGTGTTCAAGAGCAGCAAAAGAAACTTCAGAGGAATTTTCTCCAAGTGGATTACACTTCAGAGGAAGGAAAAGCTAAAAAAAAAATCACAGGTCCTTACAGCTGGTCTTAGTCACTTTATAATAAAAATTTAAAGGCCAGCAGCAAAGCTTCATCCAGGATAATCATTTTTGGCTGTGTAACATTACAAATTAAGATGGGGTGCCCTTCTAGGCAAAAGTATCTTGGGAATGGTAACGGGAGCTTCCCACATAACTTCTGACCACAGACTTAGTATCAGTCATCTGTCTAATAAGTGTTCCAAAACCTGTAATTAGTACAAATAAAGGAGGCACTATTTCACAAACCCAGAGAAGGAATGTAAATGCAACAATGGACAGACCTTAAGAGAAATCCCTCCCGACTTGTTAACAGTGAGCTAAAAAGGCAACATCAAAAACAAAACAAAAAAAAACCCAGGGGTGGTAAAAAAAAATAGCCCTCTCTCCTTCATGCTTTCTCCAGCCTGCCTCCTTTCAGAGGCCTGCCTCAGTCAACTGTTGCTGAACAGAACAAGATACAATCTGGGTTCGCTGGGCGGATGGGGGATTTGTGTAGAGGACAGAGGTGATTTCTGCAGGCAGAAGATGGAGTTTAAACTCTTCTTTGCCGGATTTTCTATGCTGAGCTGCAGAGGAGGATCAAGCAGCGGGCAATCAACCCAGGTCCCTCCCTCTCTCTTCGGTCTCTCCCCTCCCTTCGCGTTCAGAAAGGCGGGCGGGGAAAGGGTGGGGGGAGAGCAAGGCTTTCCAGTTCTCGCTTCTTAAAAATGCCTTTCCGGAGTCACCGCACACAATCCTACCCCGGCAGCAAAGAATTTTGCGGCGAAGGGTTCGCCGATCCGGAGCAGAGAAGTGAAATCGGCGCCCAAGGGCAATTTTAATTGTCTAACCCGGCTCGATTTCCTAAGAGGCGGCAGCGCGGGGAGGGAAAAGGGAGGAGGAAGGCAGCTCTGAGAGGCAACAGGGGGCAAGCCGAGGCAGAGAAAGGGACCAAAGCGGAGAGATCCCAGTCCCAGTCCCCAAGGAGCTTCTGCAGAAAGGACTCCAGGGCTGTCCCCACCTTTCGTCGGAAAACGTTTGCAAATCATATATGCAGCCAAAATGGCGCTGAGAATAAAAATATAATTTAAAGGCAGGTCGCCATATTGTAAACAGAGAGGCAAAGAACAGGAGAACTAGAGACACCCTCCATGATTTCCTCCACAGCCGCAAGCACCGGGTCGCCGAGGTCTGGACCAGGGTGGCTGGACAGCCGAGGGCTCCGCGCACCCACCCCGAGGAGATCCCGGCCCCGCAGGAGCCCTGAAGGTGGCGGGCGCGCGAGCAGCCGAGCTGCACTGAGCCGGGAGCTCCTCCCCTTCCTCCCCCGCCACCGCCGGCCGTATTCGGCCCGCTGGGTCTCGACTCCCCAGAGACTTCCAATCTCAGATGAGGCTTGCCTCATTCTTCCCAACACCCACCCCTGGGTCCGGACCCACCGCTGCCGGTTCCTGCAAAACGGCCAGTTCGCGGCAGCACACGGGGGCGGGGAGGCGCTCGCCCCAGCGGCTGCAGAGTCAGCTAGCGGCTACAAGCGCCCGTTATTTCAGCAGGCAGGGGCAGGCCAGGTGAAGGAATGTGTCGAGGAGGGTCAGCCAAGGGACTCCAAAGGGGTCCCCAGACCTTACCAGCACTGGAGGTGGAAGGCAGCCGGGCAGTGGTCGCAGCACAGGAGATCTCCACCTTCCTTGCAGCTATCGCAGCTGTCGTGGTTGGTGGCCCTGCCGCTTCTTCGGGGCTCCTTCTCCGGCTTCCGACTCCGCTTTTCTGCCTCGTCCGACTTGGGGGGAGCCAGCAGAGCTTGGATTTGCTGCACACACATACAAACAGCGTGTGTGCATACTCGGAGTTCCCGGGCAGTCCGTCGCCCCCCCGGCGCGGCTTCTCCGTCACCCACCCCTCTCCCCCCTTTTGTCCTTCTTCCTCCCATCCAGGCTGCTCCCAGAACCTCTCAGCCCCCGGAACCAGGGGGAGCCCACCCTAACTGCGTTCCTGCCGCACAACAACGAGAAGAGCTTCTTCCAAATGGGGAGGATCAGGGTAGGGGGATGGGGAGAGGGTGCGCGGTTCCCTTCTCGCCACTTCCTTGTATGGACAGTGGGGGACTCCAAAGCCCAGCTCCGGAGAGGCCCGAAGCCCGGTACCCGGACGTGTTGGGGGAAGCACAAAGGGGCCGACAAGAAGGGGGTGGGGAGGCCCGCCGGTGCAACGAGATGGAGTGGGCTGGAACTCGGGAGAGCAAAATCGAGGGCGGCGGGTAGGTGAAACTGCTGCAAACGTCCTCGGAGACTGAGCTCAAGCCCCCAAATTGCAAAGATGGGAGAGAGACTGGGCGAGGAAGAAACCCCCCCCTCCCTCGGTGCTCTAGTGCTTTGAGCTTAGGGTCGGCTTTGTGGGGCGGAGGGCGGAGGTTCCCTCCCGACGCTGGGGGAAGAGGATGAGGAGGGCCACTCTTACCTCCATCAGCCCCCCCGACGTATCCAAGTCGTACACGATCGTCTTGGTCTCCATTTTCTCCCACATTCATCCAACTCCCGGGCTGGGCGCTCTCTCCTCCGGCCCCCCCAACCCCGGGGGGAGGGGGGATTTGGGGGAAGGGGGGCTCCTGACCCCGGTTCCCCTTCTTTTTTCCCAACACGGGTCCCGACTTCCTCGCCCAGGCTCCCCCCCACCCCCCGGCCCCCAGTTCCTGGGACGGCAGCGTCCTCCCCACGGGCCGTGAGGGGGGAGCGGCCCCTCAGTCCCGGCCCAGCGGCTGACTGCACAGTGGGTCCCGGCTCCGGGGGTCAGGCCTCGGCGGGGCCTAGTCCCACAGGCTAAAGCCGGCGCTGGTGACCGCTGGTCCGGCCGGGAAGGCTGGCGGGCGCTGCCATCCCGGGGTTGGGGGGATCGGGGGGGGGGGGCTGAGAGGTTAGGTGAGGTTGTGGTACGTGAGGTGACTTGGGGGAGGGTATTGGGGGGTGGTCCCCGGGCTCCGCCTCTCGCCGCCGCCGCCGTCTGCGTCCCGGCTGCCGCGCACTTGGCGCAAACTTACCGCGAGCGCCCGCAAAGCCACCCGCGCAGGCGCCCCGGGATCGCGGCTCGCCGCGCGCAACCGCAGTGACAGCCGGCGACCGGGCTCCCGCGCAGCCGCGGTAAGGGGGTACCCCCCAGCGCGCAGCCGCGCTGGCATCCGGCTGGAGCCCCGAAGCCCCGCCTTTCTGCCCTGCGCCAGCGTACTGAGCTAAAAGGGCGGGACCTGATGTCTCGCGCAGGCGCCTGGGAAAGCTCACAGGGGTCATGGCGCAGCCGCACGAACCTGGGGACTCTTCATCCATTGGTGTTTTGTGTGTAGACCGAGAGGACGCTGTCCCCGCGCAGGCGTATTGGGCGTGCTCCCCTCCCGCCCCATAACCACACTGCCGGCTCCCGCGCAGGCGTATTGTCACCTGCAGGCCCTCAAAAGAAAGCTGCTCTTTTCGCCATTTTGGTAATGGGAC